ATATAATATATATGTGTGTGTGTGTGTGTGTGTATATATATATACAGTATAAATACATACTGTAACATCTGACACATGAATGCCCCACTGTGCTTCTGTGGTGCTTGTGCAAAACTTAAGAAAACACAAGTAAACATTTCCAAGACAGTGACTTGTTATAAAGACACTCCTCGTAAAAAAACAAGTTCATAGACCTGACCGGCCACTGGTCCAGTTCACCAGCCCAGGCAGCTGCAGCACAGACAAACCTGGCTGCAAGTTCTGGTGTTGATCTACTGAGCCCTCCCCTTTGGTGAGCTCTTACATCTTTCAGCTCAGAGATCTGCAGGATCAGAGCAGATGAGGGACACACATCATCAGAAAGCAGCATTAACTCATCTTATAAGTTATTGATTTGAGTGCCAGTGATTTATTAACGGAAGTTTACCCTTAATGAAGCTTGTTGATGTTTTAAGTGATGAAGCTATGAATGGTGAGCTAATGTCTGAGACTTTCTGCTCCAGTTGTTAAGCAACATGTCAGAATGATTTGATAGCTAATAAGACGTTATGGCACGTCTTCATTTCAGAGCGTATAAGGGGAGAAAAGCTGTTTTTTTCATGACAAGAATCCGAGAAGCGGTCTAAAACTGAAGGAAAAAATTAAAACCTATTCAGATCTGAGCTCCCACAGAATTGCCCCAGGCAACGGAGCTCTGCAGAAAGCTGGCTCTCAGGGTTTCCTGCCAGTGCTTTCTAATGCACTGTTTGTAATGGAGCTCTGTTTCTCTGAAAGATTTTTTTTCTACACTTTTAAACTTGGAGACAGCTTTTCATACTAAACTTTCATGCCCATCTTCCATACTGGCTGTTTTATCATTGTTTTACTGTTTTTATGTCATCTACATTCAAAAGCAGTATTCATCCGTGTTGAATGCCATTTAATGAAACTTAAAATCCAACATAAAGTTGACACTTTTTTTGTAAATTTATTTTTAATATAGTTAATAACAGGCCTCTGAGATGATCGGGTTGTGGTGGGTTGTGGTGGGCTGAACGTGAATTTGCTGCCAAAAAGAGCTTGTTGTTCTGAGTCAAATCAGTCTGTGTTTCCACCTCCACTGACCCCCTGCTGCATGCTAATGCAATCTATGCAATCTTGAGCGAGACAAAATGGCTCTGGGATACAGAGAGTATTGTATTGCTGCACAGTTGCCTTGAAGTAATGGATTATGTGAATAAAAACAGAAATCACCCCTCGTGACCAAAATCAGGAACTACAGACTAAAACTACATTACAGAAGATGAAACCTGCACTGATTTACTCCACAAACGTTTCAGCTTATCATTTCAGGTCAACATAAAATGTCTTTTAGAATATTGAAACCTGGAGAAGTCTACGGTTTTGTTTAGTGTAAGCTGTTTTAGTTGCTTTCCAGCAGAATCATGTTCCATTTTTTTGACTTGCAAGTTACAGAGTTGTACTTTAAATTATTGGACGTTTTGAAGCAGCAGTTCATTAACTCATGCATTCTTGAAGTAATACACATCAGCCACTCTTGAATGAAAGTAGTTG